TTTTACTTTAGGAAACACAAGTTAAACTTCATTCTAATTTTCATCACAGTCATTCTTTATGCCTACGTCTAGGAGAGGTTAAATTCTATTAAAGAATTGTAAGGATCTATCTTATTCCATTGTTGCATTGAATCTAGTTGATGGTAATAAATCTTGTTGAAATAGTGAACCATTGGCTAAGGTTGTGAATATCTTTTGCCAGACCACATTTCTGTGGATGCAGTAATTGCTGCAATAGAATCTGACCTTCACATTGAAAAACACTTCTCCTAATAGATATATAGAAATGCTTTAACTTTAGATGATTAATCCAGGTAAGAATTTCATGTGTGTGTTATTGTGTACATGAAAGATGTAGGCTGGCATGTTCAAATGCTCCTGCCTAGAAATGTTGCCTACAAAGATGTAAGCATAAAGTAGAGCCACTTGGATGCAAGACCCCTAATTTTTGCTATTCAGGTGGCATGGTACCCATTCTGTCATTCAATCATATCATGGGGGTAGAGGGAAGTCACAAATAAACTTGGCTGGACAATCTCTCTGCCTAAATTGTACCTAGCATGTCATTTGCCAGCACTGGTCCAACTGGGTCACCCAAATAAATATAAGAGTAGAAGAAGTCTGGTTTTTAAGCAGATAGCAAAGCATATGATATTAAGGCAGTGATCTAGATAGCCCAGAATCCAGGGAACCTCACGGTTGCACTGAGTAAAAGCACCCACAGCCAAGAAATTCATAGTTCCAAGTAGCCTTATGCTTCTCTGAACCATACATCAGCTATGAAATGAGGAGCTTGGAGAAAAGAGCGTTCTTTTTATAAGAAGTTGAGATACGACATTACCGAGACCCCTAGAGGGGCAATGGTTAACTGCCTGGATGAAAACTGAAAGGTTGGGGGTTCAGATCTACCCAGCAGCTCCCCAGGAGAAAGACCTGGGGATCTCTTCCTATAAAGGTTGAAGCCTAGGGTATCATATTGGGCAGTTCTACTCTGTCACATTAGGTTCTCAACTAGACAACACCAACAATAACAACATACCATATTTCATGGTTGGCTTCAGCAGCTCCAAATGTATTGGAAAAAACAAATGGTATATAAAAAAAATAAAAATAAAAATAAACTCTACAATGCACTAAAGCAGTTTAAAACCAGTTGCCATTGAATCAACTGTAACTCACAGGGACCCCACGTATGTCAATGTAGAATGTGCTCCACAGGGTTTTCAATGGCTGATTTCTCACAAGTAGATCCCAGGCTTTTCTTCTGAGGAAATTGTTGCTGTCAATTTGTCAACAAATTGTTGTTGTCCAGTTAAGTCGTACACATAATGACCGTATAGAATAGAATAGACCTGCCTGATGGGGTTTCTAAGGCTGTAATCTTTAGGAAAGTGCACTGCCACATCTTTCTCCTGTGGAATGGCTGGTAAGTTCAAATTCAAATGAACTTTGGATTGAAAGCTTAACCACTGCATTACCAGGGTCCCTAGAAAAGACACTAGGAGACTGAAACTGTCGTTAGCAGACTCTAGATCCCTGGAAAGAAGCCTTGGTGGCACAGTGGTTAAGTAATTGGTTGCTAACAAAAAGGTGAGGGGTTTGAACCCACCAGCCACTCTACAAAAGAAAAACTTAGCAATCTAATTCTATAAAAATGACAACCCTTGGGAATACTCTGGGACAGTTATACTCTCAGAATCAACTCCATGGCAACAGGCTTTTTTTTGTTTGTTTGTTAATATCCCAGTAGTAATGGAGAGGAGGCAACTTTATGGTACTCATTCCCTTGGGTGGCACTACTGCAAAGTAAATTTCCTACTCTTTAATATTAGGAAAGTGATTCTGAGGTTAGATTTCTCAAGTCTGAGAAATAAACTGAAGGCCAAAACTATGGACTTCTGCAAAAAAAAAAAAAAAAACAGTAATAGTTTCACTTCTACAGGTCTAGCAATAAAAACTTCACAGATAACAACCAGCACCATATTGTAGAGATAGATGTAAGATCATAAATCTCCATGAAGAATCCAAGACCAACACTATAACTATTGTCTGTTCAACGTCTGTAACATTTATCACCTGATCTTGCCAAAGTACTTCTAAATAAATATATTTAGAGCCAAAAAACTGTTGGGAAAAAAGTATATAAAGTTCATAGCTTTTCTTTCCTTCATTATCATCATTTTAAACTTCAGAAACCAATCTTGAATTTAGGCCCTGGCAGGAGACAGGCTAGGGCTACACAAACTGAATTGCCGGAGAAAAAAAAAAAGTTAATTAAGGCAATTATCTGGATTGTATTAACACAACAGTGAAGGAAACATCCAGATAATTTTCTAAATTGTTTCCTTTTGGTGTAAGGGCTTTCTACATATAAATAAAACCTTCAAAGATAAGAGCTATGTCCTATATATGAGATTTCAATATTGCTGAAATAAGCATTTAGCTAAAAAATTTCAATTTTAAATTTTAAGGAAAAATTTACAGAGTTATCAGAGAGGAAGAAATATGTTCTGAATTGTTAGATTGTTAGGTCTTTTTTTCCTACCCTAGATATTTTCTTTTCCTAATTAGCAATTTTTTTATGCTGCCGTTAGATCATATCAGATCTATATATAATTAGGTAATGATGCAAGATTCATTAAACGCCTTCAAATGAAAAAGCGTTGGCATTTTCTCCTTTATCATCAGTTTTACAAAACTGAAAAACTTCCTAACACTTGATTCTCAAAATCATCTTCCTTCATAAACTAAAAATGGGCCTCACATTAATTCAGTTTAGTCTGTCATTTGTTTAATCTTTTTTCACCAAATAAAACAAAATGTAGTTATTGACACTTTGCTTCTTTGAATAAACATGCATTTTTTAAAATTAAAGTAGGCTCAGGCCTACTCACTCAAACAAGCTATACACACCATCCCCGTTTCCTCCCTCAACGTCATCCAAAATGGGTCCTTGAGAGAGCTAGAACTTGACGATTCACAAACTTTCAGAACATAAAACTTTTACTGCTGGTAAGGTGGTTTCAACACAGCTATAAGAGTCACAGTAAAACAAAAAAGTATGTTCCAAAAGCCAAATCAGCAACAGAAAACAAAAGTCATGTTTATATTGTCCCAATTCTTTCTGCATCTCTAAGTCAGTACTGTGTAGTAGGGTGAAGTAATTAAGCATCATCTAGCTTTTTCTGGTTCCATATAATTTCTCATTTTTACTAATAATTCAAATACCTGTCCCCACTCTCTTTTCTATTATCCTCTGATCTTTCTTGTTTTCATTCCACCCTTAACCCTCAGTAACACGCACAGCGTGCATCACTCATCAAATCCATCTCTCTCTGGCACCTATTAGAGCTCATTCACATAGTTCTCTCTACTCACACACTTCCCCAGCCAGACACCCATGTATCCCACAGTCCTCAGTAATACACACTGTAGGCATGAGAATGAGGCTAAGAATGAGGCTTTAAAAGCCACAAAGAAATCATTTTCTCATCTTATTACCTCCCATTTTCCCTCTCCCACCCCAATTCCCAGTTCTAGCCCCATTTAGGTGTGACCCTACCGATCCTGGTAACATAGTAATGGCAGGTAAAACAACTATGGCAAGAGAGGCTGGAAATACTTCAAGGAGTAACTGTCAAATGCAAGATATTTCTGAGGTTGCCTTTTCTCAATCCCTTCCTGAACTTTCACCCTATCATGACGGTGCATCAGATCCTGTAGTGTCTTGTAAAGTTGTGATGACTTTGCCTATCACAGAGTAAGAGTTTGACCACCATGAGGTGGGAGCTCACAGTTACTGAGGGGCCTGCACCAAAGGTGCTCAGAACATGCCTAGCCAGGCCAGTATGGGGGAAGCTGGGTTCAGGTGATGAGTGCTGCTCCCATGAATTAGTGTGTTTAATCGTTCACTCTGTCTCACTTCCTATCCCCCCCTACTGTGGGCCCTTAGTACTGCTACCGTCCTGGGCAATGGCTTGCTGCTTGGCCTATAGAACAAATGATACAGCTTGCTAGGCACAGATCCCAAGAATCTGGCTTCGACTGTATTGGAGGTTTTTTCAAACAACAAAAACAAAATGTCTGGGAGCATGCCGGAGCCAGTCATGACTCAGAGCTGCCTAGATATCTAGATGTCTGGGAATATGTTACAAACGCCTCACACATTGCCTGTCTGGTGTGAGCACCAGCAAAGACTTCAAGAATGCTGGTAACCAGAATGATGGTGAAAGCACAAGAGAAAATGAAATTTACATGGGCAACTCATTTTACTTCATGTAGCAAACAGGCATGCAACACTGACTAATACCTAACACGATCATTCTGGGTTAAATTCAGTTTTGTCTGACAATGATTTATATATATATATATTTTATCCTAATGCCCTTGTTACCACTTTTGAATACATGAACAATTTTAAATGTAACATTTTTAAGCTTTTTTTTTTTTTAAATAACTGACATCCTTAAGTTTTAAAATACTCAAACTCAAAACCCTCTATTTTAGTACTTAGCCAAATTATAAAAAAGAAAAATATAGCAAGAAAATGAATAAGCACTTTTGAGAATTAAATATAAGCCTTATTATATGATTAACAGGTTTTTTTTCACAAACTAGATTACGATTTGATCCTACTATGTGTAGGACCTCCTAGTGGCTAAGAATAATATCCCATATTCATGTAAAAGGGATCCTCTGTACATCGGGTCATTATAAAGCCTTTGCTATAGAAGCAGAGGCTGATGGTAATCACAGTTCTTTAAAAGGAAAGGTATAGACTGGTTGAGATTTCTTATGTATCCTACATGGCTTTTTTTTTCTAAATGAAAGATACATCATGAACAAAACTCTCATTGGTTATTGGTTTGGGGAATAAACTTTTCTTGGAAGGCAAATAAATTGCACTCTTAATTTTAAGAAATGTGTCTGTGTTTTTGTTTGTTTGTTTGTTTTCACATATAAAGTACCAAGGTAGACTCTCAAGAAATTTACAGTCAGAATTAACTCTGTATAGTAAGAGCATCTTCCTCTACCAAGGATAGTTCCAGTGTGTTTTCATTAGTGCTGGTCTTCATCCTGAAGTTGAAAGAACCATACAGTTTTGCAGACTCTTTGGAAGAGGCAAATTGGTTTCGACGATACAGCTCCCCCTTCCACATAGACATCATTAGCAAACAAGACAGAACAACACCCCCCAGTGTGAGGAGGCAGAGTCCAGCAATCACACAGCGGTCCAGGTGAGCACCCAGCCTTGCACTCTCCTTCTCTAGGCGTTCCATCTCCCGGGCGGCCACAGTGTTGGGATCCACAGTCACATCTCGTGGGACAATGTAAGAAATGATTACCAGCAAGATCCCAGTGACCAAGAATAAGATGGCACTGATGAAACCATAGTCTACTGACTTCCCTGAAGAAGTGGCTTCAGAACTTGTATCATCTTCATCTTCTGATATCAAGGACATGGTAGCCTCATGGGGCCACTCATTTGGATTTCCCCAGCCAAGAGTTGCCGGGTGATTACTCCCTTTTGTCGACGGGGAGCTCTGGTTCCACTGCTCTAAGTTGACATTCTCGTCTACATAAGTAAAAGAAGTTTCTAATTCTTGGCTGCAGCAGTTGCAGACTTTCCATTCAGCTGTTATTAGGCCGTTCCCAGAATTGACAGGTCCTGGTGCGAAGGAGTCTGGCTGAACAACACTGTCCTGCAGAGAGGAGGGGGATGCTGGAGAAAGGCTAAGTTTAGACGCTTCCATCTCTGTTGCCCTTGCTGTTGATGCACAGTGTCTCTGGCAGCAGAGGGCAGCTCTAGTGGCAGTTGCATCTGCCTGGTCCCCAGGAGGCCCTCTTAAACTCCAGTCCCCAGCATCACACACGTCTGTCTGGCTGCTGTTCTTAGTAAGGGAGTGGAGCTCCATGAGAGATAGTCAGACATACCCCAGCAGCTTCTGGAAATTCTGCCAAGAGCAACACAGTTCAATAAGAACCCCACACAGGCTAAGGCCACACTGCCAGGAGGGCTGCCTCTGAGGTTCCCGTTTCCCTTTGCAGCCACTGCTGTTGGCTTCTCAGCTCCAGCTCCTAAAAGGGGCAAAAGAAGGACAAGAATCCCTAGTGGCCGGAAAGTGTAGTACGGGCAAATCCTCTGACTTAGCACAGGATGAACACTGAGCAACTTAGGTCGGGGTAGAAAAGTTGCAAGGAGGAAGTGGCAGTATCACTGGAGAAAGCATTGCCGTCACCAAGCCAAATTTATCCAAGGCCTCACACATTTCTGTGACAGGATCCCTCAAATGAGAAGGCAGGTTTCCTGTATAGAGACACAAATGAGAAAAGCAGGGACCCTTCTTAGCAGAGCGGCTGGTTTTCTGGAGAACCTGGGGAAGCACAGACTTGTTAACAACACAGCTGGATTTCAGAACAGGCTGGAATGCAGACTCGCTTTAGAGGACCACCAGGGATGAACTGAAAACCTGCTCCTATCAGTCACAACTCCACTGGAACAGGGGTTTAGCTCTGGTGGCATAGTGTCCAAGGCATTGGACTGCTAACCAGAAGGCTGGCGGTTCAAACCCACCAGCCACTCCTCGGAAGGAAGGTTGGGCCATCTACTTCCGTAGTGATACCGCCTCGGAAACCCAAGGAGGGGTCGCTATGAGTAGGAACTAACTAGGAACTGACTTGATGAGAGTGGGTGGAAGAGGGCCAGCTTACTCAGTCACCTCTCCCACCTTTACACCTCATGCATCCATCCAATGACCGTAATGGCACAGCCCTTAAGTTTCCGAGACTGTAAATCTCCTCACTGTGCTTCCACTCAGCCCCATCTCTCACCGCTACAAGCGGAAGCATGTTCAGGACAGCTTGTTCTGGACCTGGGCTTAAGCAGACAACACACTACTGGGATCCCTGAGAAATGCAACGGGCCAGCATATTCCTCCATTCTCATACAACTGCCTGTGCCAGGTAGCTTTCAGGTACTCCTGGTAGCTGGGTCTGACGTTCTCCTGCTCTGCACGCTTTGCTAAAACATGAGCACAGGAAACTGACCATCTAGAACTTCTCACAAACCCATTCTAGATTTACCTAAGTAGAATGACAACAACAACAACAAAAATCAAACACTCATAAAGTTAGTGCTCTGCTGAGACACACAGGTGAGCAGCTCTTTCCAAGGTTACCTTCTAGAACTCTGTATCTGTGACACTCTCTCACCCTCTGCAGCAATGGACCTTTCTGGGACAGAACTCTGGGTTGAGCAGGAAACCATCTGTCCTCTCTGCCTCTGCCATATTTCCTGAGGAATAAAAATTCACTTTCCGTCTACCAACTACAGGGACTTCAAGCAAGGACCCTTTTATTTTACTTCCACGTGCATGCTGATAATTTGTTTAACCCATTGTGTGATGCTTATTATCCTTCCAGACCCATAGCTCCAAAAGCTGGTAACCCACACAGAAGCATACCTAACGCTCACCTAACGTCAATCTAGCCACTCACTTAAAATGAGAGGGAATCAACATGCTTTCTCAGGGTGTTTAAAAACACTTCTCTCCAATTATTAGAGTTTGTCTGCAACTAGAACAGCCACAAACAAACAAACATGCAGTGTAGGCAAGCCAGAACTGAGTCAGAGCTTTCCTTCTGCAAATGGACAAGCCTCTACTGCAAGATCCATCAATGAACGAAGCAATGATACCGGGTTTCATCAATTTCTGAAATGAGGAATCATCTCGCAGGTCCCTCAGGCATCAGGCGCTCTATTAACCTTGCGCACAAATTAACTCGTCGCATTAGACTACTCTGCATAAAATCGGGAGGGACCCTTAAATGACTTCCAGTTCTGAACACTGGACGAGAGAGACCTCCACTCCATCTCCTCCTCCCGCCTGTATCTCTCTTTGAAGTAAAGAGGGGATCTCGCTTGTTCCATCGGAGATTTATTAGCTGCACAGTCGGTTTCCTTCGCAGCTTCGTAATCCGGGGCTTCCATCCTCAGTGGAGAATGGGTAATCCCAGGGGACAGGCTAAAGGCTCTTTTCTTCCGTCCCCTCCCTCTCTTCTCTCCGGTCGGTCTAAGAGCCCATTTAACAAAATTGCACCTCAAACCTAGAACACAATACTTTTCCTCCCTCTCCCTCTGTCTGCCATCAGTTAAAACCATTAATATTTGCACTGGAACTAAATGGCACAATAAGGGGGGTCCGAGAGAGGCGAACTCGGGGTTCGTCCTGCGCGCCTTGCGCAGGGAGGGCGCGCCGCGAGCACCAGACAGCCGTGATCCCCAAGGGTGCCGCGGGTTCAATCAGTCCATTCTGGGTAATCTGTGCGCCCGTTGCGGGCACCCAGAGTCGGGCTGCGTCCGCCGAGGACTCGGAGGCAAGGCAGGCACCTTGGGCAGGGAGCAGGGACGCGCGCCCCTGCTTAGCGCCGCCAGGCTCCGGGTCTCCCTCCATCGCCCCAGCTCATCCTCTCGGTCCCACTCACCTCCCGCCTGGGCCACTCGGTGCCGCTCGAGCACCGCGCGCTTGGCCCTGTGCAGTTCCTCGGGAAAGTCCCCCAATCATCAGCCGCGGCACTTGTAGCCTCAGCGCTCCGCTCCTCCGGCTGGGCAGCGCCCGCCGTGCTGGGCTGGGCGGGACTGGGCGGGGCGGGGCGGGGCGCTCGCTCTGGCTGAGCATCCCGGGAGATGTAGTCCAGGGGCTGCCTCATGGCATCCCTCTGGTTTCTGTTTCCTCCCCTCCTGGGTCTCACCCTTCCTGAAGACTAGTTGCAGCTGTTCCACCTGTACATCTGCCTGGCATTTCAGAAGGAAGCGCCAGCTTCTAAACTCAGGGTGGGAACCCCAACCTCAGGTGTGGTCACAGGACTGTAGGGGAAGATGGGGAAGGAAGGAGTTCCAGTTGTGTACCAGGCAGGTGGTATATTTTCTTAATAGGACAAATCTTCGAAGTAGATTTTATTGATCCTCATTTTACAGATGAGGAAATAGGCTCAGACAGATTAAATGTCTCATCCAAGGTTACAAAGAAATAAATGGGAGCTTCTAAAATAGCATCTAGTTTTCTGATTCCAAAGTCATCGCCTTTCCACAAAATCATGAGAAATGAGACCATTGAGGCCAAGAGATTGTTCTGTTCATGAGTGCATCCTCTGTGACTAGCAGAATGTCAACATCCATTGAATGTGTGAATAAAAATGACCCAAAATAACAACTAACATACATAGCACTATCACCAGGCTTTCATCTAAGCAATTTAGATACATTTGCTCATTAATGATAGCAATTAATTTTTTAAATACAACAAAACTCTTTATTTTTAGAGAAGAGGAAATTGAGTTATAAACAAATTGAGAGTAGTTTTCCCAAAGTCACACAGCTAGTACTCAGCAAAGGTGGGACATGAACTCCAAGCAGCTCTAAACATGCTGTTTTAAATTAATGGAATAGACCAAACTGCAAGAAGAGAGGGATCAGGAGTAAAGGAAATCAGAGGCTGAAGCAACTGAGTTGTGACTCCTAGGACAGGATAAGATAATTGCTTTGGGCTACTTTGATAGTTATAGTGATGTGTCAATTTTCCTAGGCTATGATACTCCATGGTTTGTTGTTGCTGTTAGGTGGGGTCAAGTCAGCTTCAACTCGTAGTGACCTTATGTACAACAGAACGGAACACTGCCCGGTCCTCCAATAGGCTCACCGTCCTTACTACGCCCAAGTCCATTGTTTTAGCCACTGTGTCAATCTATCTCATTGAGGGCCTTCCCCTTTTTCACTAACTCTCCACTTTACCAAGCATGATATCCTTCTCCAGGGAATAGTCCCTTCTCACAACATGACTAAAGTAGGTGAGACAAAGTGTGGCCATTCTCTCTTCCAAAGAGCATTCTGGCTGTAATTCTTCCAGGGTAGATTTGTTAGTTTTTCTAGCAGTCCATGGAACTTTCAGTATTTTCCACCAACACCACAACTCAAAAGCATCAACTCTTCTTTGGTCTTCCATATTCATTGTCCAGCTCTCACATGCATATGAGGCAATTGAAAATGTCATGCTTGGGTTAGGTGTAGGAGCTCTGGCATAGTGCCTAAGGCATCTGACTGCTAACCAAAAGGCTAGCGTTTCACACCTACCAACCACTCCTCGAAAGGAAAATTGGGTGATCTACTTCTGTAATGATACCCCTTCAGAAACCAAGGAGTGGTCACTATGAGTCAGATCTGACTCGACGGCAGTGAGTTTGGTTTTTTGGTTTTGGTTAGGCTAACTTAGTCTTCAAATAGACATCTTTGCCCTTCAGAATTTTAAAGAGGTCTTTTGCAGCAGATTTGTCCAGTCCAATACTTCATCTGCAATACTGCTACTTCCATTGATGTTGATTGTGGAACCAAGAAATATGAAATCTTTGACAACTTCAGTCTCTTCTCCATTTATCGTGATGCTGCTTATTGGTCCAGTTGTGAAGATTTTTGCTGTCTTAATGCTGAAATGTAATCTATGCTGCAGACTGTAGTCTTTAATCTTCATTAGTATGTGCTTCAAGACATCTTCAGTTTCAGCAAGCAAAGTTGTGTTGTGTACATATCATAGGCTGTTAATAACTATTCCTCCAATCTTGATGCCACACTATTCTTTGTATAGTCCAGCTTTTCAGATTATTTGCTCACCATACAGAGTGAATAAATATGGTGAAAGGATACAACCCTGAAACACTCCCTTTCTGATTTTAAACCATGCAGTATCACCTTGTTTGGGAGCTCTGGTAGCGTAGTGCCTAAGGAACTTGACTGCTAAGCAGAAGGCTGGCAGTTCAAACCAACCAGCCTTTCTTCAGAAGGAAGGTTGAACAATCTACTTCTGTAGTGATACTGCCTGGGAAACCCAAGGAAGGGTCACCATGAGTCGAGTCTAACTCGATG